CTCTCTCTCTCTCTCTCTCTGTCTGTCTGTCTTGCTGTAACGTATCCCAAAGCATGATTTTGGCCTTCACATGTGGAGATAATCAGGTTATGGTGTAAATGTAATTATTTAAAATGTGATGATGTGGTGTTAAATATCTGCAACGAGAACAGAGTTTTATTTGCAAGCAAAATCTAGACACGTGAAATCGATATTCTCTACAATATTCTAAAGGGTGTCCAATTTAGATCTATCTTGGTATAGATACTTGGCTATCAAGAAAGGATGACAATATCCATTTATCTGGATCAGCAGTTTGGATCCCATGGAAGCGTTAGTTTGTCCCCCATCAACGCGTTGACGGTTCGGCTGTATATAAAACAAAGTGGAAGCGAAACAAAAGAAAACGTCTGCCCATTTACTCATTTATTGTCTGTCTGTTGGGTAAAGTATGTCTGGCTATTCTGACTATTCGGTACCCTAGAATTACTAAGTTCTATCTGCTCAACAGTGCTCAGTACCTCGTTTTGAGAAATTCGACGTTAAAGATTTTGAGTTTCACAAAATGTCAAGCTTTTTCGAATGCAATTCTTTGAAGATCTTGATAACGACTCTGAATAATCTTACGATTTTGGTAGAGCGGATAGAATAATATTTAACTTTGGTTTCTGACCTCATAATGGTCTTAGTAACTCAAAACGACCAAAAATGTCGTATAGATCTAGAACTTTGCAATTCTAAGGAAACGTATTGTGTAAGTGTGTGTGTGGCAGCCATCGACACTGTGTACCCTTTCAGCTACATAAAACATAAAACACGAAACATAAAACCGAACCCGAACACAGTTAGTAGTAGCAAACAGAAAACTGTTATTGTGGACACGTTCTCGTGAAAGAGTTTACCAACAGCGAGTTGGGCGGTATCATTGTCCAGAAAGGTCGTGGCCGTTTTATGTCGATAGCACATTGGTCCTTCGGGGGGGCCTGGTCCAGGGAAAGTGATTTCCCGCGGGTAACCCGAACCGGACTCACCCCCATGTTCTTCCTTCCTCTGAAAGGAGGCAGCCGCTTTATTGGGAAAAGGGAGAAACAAAAGAGATGAGGGCAACAGACTTTGATGACGTCATAATGAGGAATTAAATGTCCCGCGAGGGGTCCGTGTTGCTTCAGTCAGTATGGAAGGAGAGGGCTGGTGGATTTCCGTGGGTTGTAAAAATAGTTTATGGCCGTTGTGAATGTGGGTTCTTGGCAGTGTTACCTCTATTGCTGCTTTGGTTGTCCTTGTTGTTGCTGTCGTTGTTACTGCTCTTGCTATTGTTTTTATTAGTGATGTTGTTAATGTTGTTGTTATTTTGCTGTTGTTGTTAGTGTTTCTGTTGTTGTTATTAATAATGATGTTGTTACTGTTGTTGTTGCTGTTGTTGTTGCTGCTTTTGTTGCTGCTGT